AGAATCCCCTCACTGATTACACTGTAAGTGATAATCCACCTTAAATATATATATATGGCTAACGTGGATTATCACTTATGGTATCACTCAGTTAGGGGACTTTGCAGACTGTAGAGGGTGGGTTCAGCCTCCTGATGAGTCGGTGGAACAGTCCGACGAGACAGTTTGTCACAGCCCCTCGTTTTTTGTCCTCTTCTTCCTCTCTGCCAACGGTTTACCAGGCACTGCAGTTCTGTTTGTCAATATGTGCATATAATATATAGTTTTATTTTTTATTTTTTTTTTATTTTTTTTGAACAGCATGCTCCGATCTATTAGTGGGGAGCAGCACGTGCAGGGAACCGAGAACGATTTCAGAAGACGTTCCAGAAACTGAAGGCTGGCAGCATTGACTACCCCTGAGGACCCAGGGGCCAGGGGGTTAACTCAGCAGCCAGAGAAGAATATCTCCCCTCCCTAGCCCATGGCCTGGCTCAAATAGCGGTGGGAATCACTCGGGGGCACCAGTGGGTCCTCCTCCCATCTCCTTGGCCCCCCTAGGCAAATTGTCGTGGAAAATTGTCGTAATTTAACTTACTTTTTGTAACATATGCAAGGAAAATGAGTGATGGCGAACTTCAGAAACCAAGCAGCATCAGGCACACGAGACCAGATAGTCGTGACCTCGAACCAAAAGCAGAATTGCAACACGAGTCCCACCAAATAAAAGCACAGCAAAAGCTTATTAGTGACAATGTTCGAATAGTCTCATCATCATCAACAAAGAACCAATGTCGACATCCTATCTGGGACTCTGCGCGCAGACTACAAATGGCAGATCCTATCTAGCCTATCTACAATGCCGCTGGTGACATCAACAACTCCCCGAAGTACAAGCAGATCTCGGCCAATGCCGTTCACCTCAAGCACCAGGTATGTCTCTCGTATCACCCACAACCTCGATCCCCCACTCACAGATGCCACGTGCACCCAAGGACCACCATGCACCCCATCCAGCATACAGCAGCGCAGCTCGGCTATGGCTGCCTGCTCCTTCCAGCTCGCCCGTGAGCGCGTGAGCGCTGGCCAGCGTATAGCGCAGCAGCGCTTGCGCAGCATGCAGCCAGTGCCCGAATGCCGAATGTGTGGGCAGGCCCTTTCCTAAATGGAAGTGGCCTGCTTGCTTGCGTGCACCCTGGCTGCGCTGGGCCCCCGCCCAGAAGCTTCCGGTAGGCCCAGAGAGGCTGAGCCCTAGTCCAAACGAATCAGGCCCTGGGCCAAGCTTCCAGTAGGCCCAGAGAGGCTGAGCCCTCGTCCAAATGAATCAGGCCCTGGGCCTGTGGTGGTTGCCCGTGTCCAACTGCCCGCGGCTTGTATTCAGTCCATGTTGCGAATCTGGCCCAGGGCCTGCCTCGGTTACATTCAAAAGACGTAGCCTGGGTCTGGGCGCTCTCAACTAACTGGCGCTGCGCAACTGCCTGAATTTGCCCAGTTGCGTGATGACCCCAAAAATAGGCCTGTAGGCCCTGGGTCGAGCCTGCATTCACTTAGGGCGGCCGACTGTACAGAAAATAGGGCCCACTAGGGCAGATCGAGGCCTTGAGCCTCACATTCCCTCCTCCATACTTCAACAGTCCTCTGAGAAGTTGATTACTCAATCTGGCGCTTTCCTTTCTGCAGTGACTTCTCATAATGAGCGACAGCCTGTGGAGCGGTCTGCATCAGTTCCTCTCGAGTGAACCATCTGTCCTCCTTTGGATCAGTGTGATGTCTGAACCGAACTCGGTATTGCACCTTCGACTTCAGAGGACGGCCCCTGCCTGTCGGACTTGGAACCGGCATTTCTCTGTGGTCCATGATATCATCGATGTCGACCTCTCCATCCATGGTTGGGGGCAGCATCCAGCGTCGCGAGGGAAACTGATCAGTTTCCTCGAATGGTGCAAGCTTAGAGCCGTGGAAGACAGGGTAAGTGCGAAGATGACCAGGGATCCGAATGACATATGATGGCCCATCCGGATCCTCTCCAACAATATCAAAAACCTCCCAAGGTCCAAAGTTATGTGGCATGAGCTTGCGTGATATCCTGTGCTCCTGTCCCAGTTCCAAGGATTTGACCCAGACTTTGTCCCCTACCTGAAATGTAGATGGGCGGCGGTGTTTGTTCTCAGACTCTATCATTGTTGCCTGGGCTTTGTGCATCTTTTCTACCGCTTGCTGCATCAATTGCTCATATGGATATGCAAATTCTAACGTTCCAGGTGCAGCTGTCGGCTGATTCTCAGGTAGTAGGAAGTCTAGAGGCAGTTTAGGCTTAAAAGTCAGTAGCAGGCTGTTAGGACTCACCCCTGTTGCGCTGTGCACAGCATTGTTGTACAGGCTGGCGATGAGAGGAAGTTTCTCATCCCAGTCCACCTGGTTGGGCTTTATGTAGTGCCTCAACAGGAGTTGTACAGCGCGGTTCAGCTTCTCCGCTTGCCCGTTTGCCTCTGGGTGGTTCCCAGAAGTCATCTGCAGCTGTGTTCCTTGTTCTGCAGCTGCAGCCTTCCACAACTCACTAGTGAATCGGATGTCCCGGTCACTTACAATGGACTTTGGAAGCCCAAAGTCTCTGACACAGTTCTCTTTAAACAACTTGATCACATACTCGGTCTTGGCTGTAGCAGGCATTGCGACTAGCCTAGCATACTTTCTAAACCTATCCGCAATGACATAGACATATCTCATTCCGTTCTTGCTGGTGACCAGCGTGTCCATGAAGTCCATAGACAGGCTCTCACCGGGCCTTTTTGGAATCGGAAGGGGCTTAAGAAGCCCAAGAGGGGCATGTGTACGTGGCTTGTCTCTCTGACACACCTGACAAGTCTCCACGTACAGCTTCACATCTCTCATCATTGTGGGCCACCAGAAACGCTGCAACAGATTTGCTGCAGTCTTCCTATACCCAAAATGTCTGATGGCATCATGAAACTCACCTAAAAATAAACTACACAAAGACTCTCTATTAGGAACACACAAACACTTATTTCCGACCTTCTCAAGGAACAATAGGCCGTTGACCAACACAAACTCGTCGGCAATTGCTTTGTCTTTCGCCTCGAGTCTACGTATGATTTCGACCATAAACGGATCCTCGCGATAAGCTTCCACCAAGGATTGAGTGACATCGTCCGCAAGCCCAAATTCAGTGACCAGCCCACCGAGAAAGTCTGGCCTACGCGACAGTGCATCAGCAACCTTGTTGTAATCCCCCTTAATGTACTGGGGTTCGAAGTCATACTGCTCAATGACTTCGATCCAACGCTTCAGAGCGTCGGAGAGTACCGGTTGAGTCTTCATCCATCTCAGGGTCTGATGATCAGTCCTGACATAGAAGAAGCGACCTAGGAGGTAGTGCCTCCAGTGGGTTAGCGCTTTGTAGATCGCATAGAGCTCCTTCTCATAGGTGGACTTAGCCAACTTTTGAGAGGGCATCGTTTTGGGCATGTACTCTACTGGGCTCAACTTCTTCCCCTCCTGCTGCGCAAGTACGACACCAATGCCATATTGGTTGGCATCCATAGTCGCCACGAAAGGTTTGTCAGGATCAGGAAGTTTCAAGACTTCATGGTGTGTCAACGCATGCTTCAGATGTTTGAAAGCAGCCTCACACCTGTCTGTCCACTCCCATGGGGTGTCAAGGCGTGTCAGGTCCGTTGAAGGGGCGGCCACTATGCTATAATTCTGAACAAAGTTGCGGTAGTAGCCTGTCATCCCTAAGAAGGACCTCATCTCAGTCACAGACTGAGGACGCGGCCAGTCACGAATGTTGGCCACCTTCGCGTCATCGGGCTTCAATCCCTCCGCGTAAATCTCATGTCCCAGGTACAAGATCCGGGTGCGTCCAACACTTCTCCCAGTTAATCTTGAACTGGTGCTGTCTCAGGAGGCTAAGAACTTTATCTAAGTGCGCTACATGCTCCTCGACAGTCCTACTAAAGATAAGTATGCCATCGAGGTACACGATGACAAACTTGTCCAAGTAGTCATGAAATATCCGGTTCATCGCATGCTGAAAGGTGCCAAGAGCATTGCAAAGGCCGAAAGGCATCACCACAAACTCATACAGACCGTACCTGGTCTGAAATGCGGTTTTGTGTTGATCCTCGAACCGGATTGCAATCTGATGGTACCCGGACTTCAGATCTATCTTACTGAAGTACCGACACCCTTGCACTTGGTCCAGCAAGTCATCGATGCGTGGTAGGGGCTCGACATTCTTCACTGTAATGGCATTGAGGCCCCTATAGTCAATGCACATCCTCAAGGTCGCTCCCTTCTTTGGTACAAATAGTACAGGAGATCCGTAAGGGGAAACACAAGGCCGGATCCAACCCTTCTCTATGAGATCCTTGAGTTGTCGGCGAAGCTCATCGAGCTCCCCTGGATCCTACCCTTCGGAATGCTAGACCCTGGGATAATCTCTATCGCGTGGACGACCTCCCTCTCAACAACCTCTTTCGGCTCCTCGAATAGATCAGGGTACCTAGCGACCACTCCCTCTATCTCTGGAGGCATTTTCACCGGCTCACCCTCTGCAGAGACGTAAACTAGGTACATACACTCCTCCGGATTTTGCTTATAATAATTATAAAACGCAGTCGCACATATGCACCCATAGGACTCGATCAGACTACTAGCTTTATACTTAAGCAATCTGGCGGTTCCCCCGTTGGGCAACGTGTGTTTGACTATTTTTCGGTCCCTGTGAAACTGGGGCTGTGCAACCGAGAGGTAGTACATACCTAACAAGATGTCCATAGGGAGATCATCGTTGACTAGGAACGAGACTCGATGTCTCAGTTCCCCTCCCCCGTACGGGAAAAGACAATCAATGTCTTTAAGGTAGTCATTGACTACCATGCGCTGTTTGTTGGCACAGGTCCACTCAACAAGTCGACTCAGGTGCTGCACTTGCCCCTCTAAGCGCAGCCTCTCAACGCACGCGCAACTAATGAAGTTCTGCGTCGAGCAAGTGTCATAATAGGTCCCGGCCTTACGGCCGCCGATGACTACCTCGCCGACAAACAACTCACCCTTAGGGGCTTTGGCCATGGCCGTCCAAAAAGCTAGCGGGTCCGATCTAGACCACTCCTCCTCAAGCTCCTCTAGGCTCTAAGGACTCAAACACATTCAGCGATTAGAGGATCGTTGGGTCCGAATGTGTGTGCAAGACGACGATGGAGTCAGTAGCTTGGGCCATCTCTCGAGATGGTGAGGGTGTGTCCACCACCTCGACCCTAGCAGGAACAACTACTATTCCTACTGGCCCGACGTGTTTCCCGGAGCAGTGCTAGAACTGTTGGCCACATTGCTACCTACGGAAGCGGAGGATCCCAACACCTGCCCCATCGTAGGCGGGATCTTCTCGGTCACCTTCTTGTTGCGGCACTTTATTTAGTTGTGGCCATATTGACCACAACGAATACAGGCATGCCTGGTATACCGGTCTCTCCGCACGTCCTCTGTGAGACCCGCTTTCTCCCATGGAGGAGTGTTAGGGTCAACTTGACTCCTAGACCGGGAACCTCCTCGGTGTCTACCGGTCGCCTTACCTTTCTGGACAGAGGCAGCGACTGTTCCACCCCCTGAAACTTCTACACTGCCCACCTCTGAACCCGCTCCCGCCTGGAAGTCGTCTTCTAACTCGATGGTAGAACCATCGTTGTCGACAAACATTATGCGGCCTTTCACCTTCCAGTTGGGAGGCAGTGCCTTCTTCCTACCGTCCGTCGTGGGTGTATGTCCATGCCCTATGTTTGCCTCTAGGTCTATGGCCTTCTTGCTGAACGAGGGAAAGTTGTGCATATTGATGTTCGCCTCACCTGCCAACTGATTCCTGAGAGGCAAAGGAAAACATCTTAGGTATGCAGTGAGTTAGACATGGGGGTCATAGCGTACTCTAGGAACAAAGATCAGATGCTCTACTGCGTCTGTGGCTTCCCTTACTGACTTGAACTGCCTGTTGTTCAAAGTCAGGATCGCGTCAGTGGCCTTTTGAGCCTCCTGAGGATCTTCCACCAGCTTAAGGAAGTCCTCCAGTTTCTGGTTAACTGCCCAAGCGCGGAAGTCATGACCGTATCCCTATAGCTGCACTAAACCACTCAACCATCTTGCTGCACTCCCCTCTAAATAGGAGGCAGCCACAAGCACTTCCTCGTGCGGCAAGGTCAATTTACATTTTACATAGACTGGCACTGACCTCAACCATGTGTCGAGGTCTTCGCCCCTCTTGTCCCCTGTGAAGGGTTTGGGGGAGATGATGGCCGTCTTCGGAACCCACTGGCTTTGTCTCGGTACCTGTCCCACTCCAGGCTATGGACCTTGGGGACCAGGCTGCTGCACTAGCTGCTGTTGTGCAGACTGCGAGACAACAGGCTGCCCGGTTACGGCAACCTGCGATGGAGGTTGGGAATACACTGGCTGTATAGGAACCTACACACTAGGACCTGCTGAGAACCCGCCTGTCAAAGGCATACTCAGGGAAACGGCTTGGACCGATACTGGAGAGACATATGGGGAAACTCCAGTTACCGGTGGGACAAAAGGAGGAGGATGTGCAACGGGCCAGGCACCGGGCCTGGACAGCGATGGAGTTGCTTGCGCCTGCCCGACCAATACGGCCATACTGTTGGATGTCCTGTAAGAGAGTCGTCTGGTGGTCCTGCATTTCTACTACATCTAGCAGGTCTGTCCATAGGGTCCTCACATCTTCATCCACGTGCGTCAGATCTATCTCCTCTAACTCACTAACGTCCCTTGTCTCCGCTGCATCCTGGCTCTTCTTCTAATCATTTTCTCTTTCTCTGCCTTGATCTCTCCTAACGCCTGTTGTAGTTGTGCCTCGCGAATAGCTGCTTGCTGTATGGCGACCTCCTCGGGGGTCAACACTATTGGCTGGCTTGCCATAACGCCAGTGGACTGACTCAAGGTTTGTGCGACCATTGACCCTACAGTCCCTGAACTACTGGCCTGAGAGCTCTGTTGCGCATCAGTTGCCATGGCTGCTGAAGTAGTGGCCTCGCTCATGAATGCCCTGCTTGCCTCTGCGGCCCTAGCCCTTCGCTGCTGCTGTTGTCTCTCTCTCTGCTGGCGGAACAGGTATTTGTCGCCCTCTGGTCCTAATGCCAAGTGGGCGATCGGGCGTCTTGCCGATTGCAAGATCCTATCGTCCGGTTGTGGGACCCCCCTGTCACTCATAGGCTACAACACTGTACACTGTCTGCACTAGATTCAGGATTTCGGAGATGATTGAAACTTGATCGATATCTGCGGAGTTGCTCTGTTCTATGCACCTGGTTTGCAAATGCCAGAACGACGCTGGCCGGAGCTGGGGCGTTTGCCCTGTAACCTGCATTGTCTGGAGTGTGAGGCCTTGTAGAGAGATCTGGGGATTGGCTGAGGGAGGAAGGCAATCCAATGGCGAACTGGGGGGGCTGCCTTGACAACCTATGGGGCCAAGGGTAGTCTAAGGGGCGAGAACAGGTTAACTAAGGTGGGTATTGGTTAGGAGGGTTTTGTCTCTGAGGCCCAATGTCTGGTTACAAGGAGGGCTAGGAGGTGTGATGGGAGTAGGGGGCCAGGAGTACTGATAGCATAGTCTTCTATTCTTTAAAATACTAATCATCGCGATTACTATCATAATGATCGGCATCACCATCATCTTCGGCATCATTATCATCTTTTTAGCTTTCTGGTGTTTCGGAATTTTAGGCAGCATCTAGCTTTTTTCCACTGATGGGATATAGGATTTCAGAAATGGTCGAACCGGGACTGATATCCGTGTAGTTGCTCTGTTCTGTGCCCCTGGTTGGCCGATACCGGAACGACGCTGGCCGGAGCTGGGGCGTTGCCCTGTAACCTGCAAATGGCAGGAGCGGGAGGCCTTGTAGAGAGATCTGGGGTTTGCCGAGGGAGGAAGGCAAGCCGGTGGCAAATCAGGGGGGGCTGCTAGGTAGCGAGAAGAGATCAGTTGTAAGGGAGTTTGGTTAGGTTGGGATTGTCTCTGAGATACAATGTCCTGTTACCGGAAGGGCTAGGAGATGCTCTAGGATTAGAAGGCCAGAGGTGCTGATTAAAAAAAAAAAAAAAAAAAAAAAAAAAAGGACACTCTTGATGCCTACTGCAGCATTATGTACAAACCATGGCAACCGGCCGGACGTCTGGACCGGGATCCAGACAGTCCGGCTGTCTGGGTCCGGGTCCGGGGTCCGGTCCGGTAGGTCCGGAATGGACCCGTTTCTGGAAAATTCGAAATTTTTTTTGGGGGCTCCTAGGACGTTTTTGGGGTCCTAGGCTGCCCCCCAAAAATACTGCCGGGATTTTTGGGCCGTTCGAAGGCCTACCGGAGCGCGCCAGACTGGGTGGGATTCCCGCCTCTGCCGAGCTCGGACAGGGGAAGGAAAAAAGACGGATTCGACTTTTCGAATCTGCTATCCCTCAAGCCAAAGCGTGCTGTCGTCGCCGCCGTGCTGCTGCCGTTCTTCTGCCGCCGATCTTCTGCCGTCGACTTCGTCGCCCGCCGTCACTAGCGTTGCCGAGGAGACCATCGCCAGCCAAGCGGTTGCTGCCCGCCAGGGCTTCTTGCTGCCGAGGAGGTCGTCGGCCGCAGCCAGGTCAGTCTCTCTCTCTCTCTCTCTCTCTCTCTCTCTCTCTCTCTCTCTCTCTCTCTCTCTCT